CTTGCAGCCGGTTGCCACCCACTTCAGAGCAACCTTGATCACACATCTGGGCCGGTCACCCCCCCAGCCCCCAATGCATTTCCTTTCCAGAACAATCGTGGCCGGCGCTGAACTGAGCGGTAATTAAGGCCCGAGCACCCCCCCAGGGAGGAGGAGGAGGAAGAGGAGGAGGAACAGCAGGAGAAGGAGGAGAAGGAGGATGGGGAGGGTCAGGAGTAGGAGGAGGGGGGTGGGCGATGCAGAGGGTGCGATGGTCTCCAAGGTGGAAGAGGAGGAGCAGAAGGAGGAGCAGCAGCAGCAGGAAGAGGAGGACCAGCAGCTAAAGGAGGAAGCAGTGACGTATGATGATGAGGAGGAGGAGGAGGAGGAGGAGGAGGAGGAGGAGGAGGAGGGCGCTGTGGCGGTCGCGAAGGTCTTCGAAGGCCGCCAGGGCTGGGCGAACATCATGGGCGTCGCCGAGAGGCTCGGGGTGAATGGACAGGGAAGGGCATGAGAGGGGGAGGAGAGGGGATGGGGACGGTGAGGGCAGTGAAGGTGCGTACCAGTTCGGACCAGGTCTGGTCCAGGCCCCGCCGCGGGTAAGGGCAGCGCGGGCCTGCCTCACAAGGCGGGATGTGCCGCAATACGAACAGGGGTGGGGAGCTACCCTCTTCCCTGCTACGTTCAGTATGACCACGACTGGGAACAAACCAGGTCTGTGGTGAACAGGCCACTTCAGGCCCTTGAATGGCTTGTTCACTACAGACCCGGCTTGCACTCGAAAAGAAGGCGCCAGCTGCAAGCGCGCGTTGGCGTGCGCGCCTCGGTACCTCACTGAACGAAGGCGCCGCTTTTGGGGCACCCTCCACAGCGGCCCAGTGCTAGAGCTACGGACCCATTGCCATCAGTTCTCGCAGAGCGCTCAGAACATGGACAGGCTAGCAGTGGTTTGCTAGTTGTGAGCATCGAGGCGTGCGTGGTGGCACGCCTGGGGAGAGGCCCCAGACGGTCTGTGCTCTTTGGGTTGTATCAAGACGGGGTCCTGACTGTTCCTGGGTGCTTCGCAGGGTATGAACAAGGCTGGTTGAACACAGATGCAGCGTCGTGCTGCTTATCGTGAGGGCAATTCCGCGATCGAGGTCGGCGGATCGATTGGCAACCGTGAGGCGCTTCGTGGGACGACTCCGCTCCGTGGGCTGCACCGGGATCACTCGGATACTCTCCTCATGCTGATGGGTGGTGCTGAGGCCGTGAGGCCCCGTGCCTCGGGGGGACGTGGTGGCGGCCTGACGGCAGAGCTCGCGGCATTGAGGGCCTGGGTGCGCGGCAGCACTGTCCAGCCCATCGGGCTATGGCGGCGGCATTGGCCCGCCCGGGGGCCCAGTGCGCGACTCGCAACCCCACGCGGGTCCTCTCTCAGGTCGTTAGCGCCTGGGGCGGGGCCCTGGTGGCCAGCCGCCTCAAGACGCTGCAACGCATTGTGCTTTCTCGGCCGCGGAGAGGGTGAGGGAGGGACGGCAGGGGCTGAGCTAAGATCCAAGTGTTCGAGCCCCCATGCTAACTGCGCGGTACACCTTAGGCGATGCTTAAGAAAACTTAAGTTTTCGACCAGAGTCTCGATTATTCTTAATGTTTCAATGTAAATCCCAAGACTTTGATAGAAATTTTGGGTTTTTATTCAAGTTCTGAGACTATGAATTTCTTAACCCATGATTTCTTAAGCATTTCGCAGGGTGTAGGCGGGCAGACGCCTGGGGCGGCACCCCACCTCCAGAGCGTCGCGCGCCGTCCCGTCGCACTCTCGACGTCGTCGTGCACAACGTGCCGTCCCGTCGCACTGCTCGACGTGCTGAACCGTCCCACGCTCACCGCCGTGGTGCTCAGCGTGTTCATGCTCGTGCTGCCGTGCCGTCCAGTCGCACTCCTCGACGTCGTGGTGTTCGGTTCGCTGGCGATGCATAGCGGAGAGGTGCTAGTCGCAGGCGAAGGCGTTCATGGACGTGGTTTTTCTTGCTCTGCTCGCCTCGCTCGCAGATGTGACACTGTTGGTTTTGGGTCCCGTCGTGATGCGCCACGCCGTGTTGCTTGCTCCCGTGGTTCTACTCGGTGTTGGGGTGCTGAACCACGGCGTGCTGCTCAGAGACGTGCTCGTTGCACTCCTCGTCTCACTCGTGGATGTGAGGCTGTTGGTGCTGAGTCCCGTCATGCTGCTGGTAGGCGGCCTGGCGACTGGGGCGGGTTCCTGGTGGCCACCCGCCTCCTCAGGCATAATCGCCTGATGCACTCTCGCACGCGCGGAGGGCGTGGGCGGGACAGTAGAGGCTGAGCTACGTGCCTTGTGGTCGAAGCCCGTGGCACATGTGCGGTATGTAGGCGGCATGACGCCTCGGGCTGGGTCCTGGTGGCCCCCCACCTCCAGAGGCGTCCCGTGCCGTCCAGCTGCACTTCCGGCGTCGTGGTACACAGCGTGCTGTCCCGTCGCTCTGCACAACGTCCCGTCCAGTGGTGCGAGGCTTCGTGCACGAGTGTGTCGCGGCGAACGCCGTGATGCTGCGCGAGCCTCGTGGGAGGTCGTTGCCGTGCCAGCCCCACCTCCGCGCCACCGTCGGGCCCCGAGGAGCCGCCGCGAGGAGCTCCGCAGTCCTCCGCACGGTGAGGCGCCGGGCGGCTGGCGGCCTCCCGACGGCCGCCTGGACGAGCCTCGGAGACCTCTCCAGGGCGTGGCGTGGCCAGAACCGCCAAGGAGGAGCCGATTCCGTCGTGCTGCCCGTGATCACGGTGATGCTGGTCGCGGTCGTCCGCTTCGTCGCAACGAGTGGCCGTCGTGGTGAACACCGGTGCGAGGCGCGGTGCGCGAGTGCGTCTCGGTGTACGCCGTGATGCTGCCCGTGCATCGTGGGAGGTCGCGATGAGCCCAGCCGTCCTCCGCACGGCGCGGGGCCGCAAGGTAGAGAACATCGCCAGCCCTGTGGTTTGAGCCAAGGGGTCGCCGTGCCCCAGCCTCGCTCGTCCTGGCAGGGGCTCTGCGGGAGGCGCCGCACGGCTGGCACCCTCCCAGCAGCCGCTCGGACGAGCCCGAGAGATTCTCCAGGGCGTGGCGTGGCCAGAGTCGCCAAGGAGGACCCGACACCGCCGTGCTGCTCGTGATAACTGTGTTGCTTCCAGGCATGCTGGGTTGAGGCGTGGTGATCGGTGCACTGCTCGCATTGCTCATCGCACTAGTTGGTGTGAGGTTACTGGTGCTAATTCCCGTCGTGCCTCTCAATGTCACGGAGCAGTTCTTATTCGTGCCGCTCGATTCCTTCGGGCCTTTCTCGTTGAGATCTTGGTCCTGGACGTGCTGCTCAAAGACGTGGTGCGCATACCACTGCCCGTCTCTCCCGCAGATGTGAGGCAGCTGGTGATGGATCTCGTCGTACAGCTCAACGCTGTGGTGCTCGCCTCCACCGTGCTGCTGGTAGGTGGCCTGGCGCCCGGGGCGGGGTCCTGGTGGCCACCCACCTCCAGAAGCAGAAGCACCATAGACTTGTACCCTATCGGGCGCGGGGAGGAGACGAGAGGGACGGTATGCGGCTGAGCTACGTTTCATGTGGTCGAGTCCCTTTGTAGCATGCAGGGTACACACTGTTCAGTTCTAATTATTGGAAAATTCTTGTTTTTTTGGGGGGGGGCCAAGGTCCATTCATTTCTAATCGTTCTATCCTGGGCCTCTTCCTGGCCACCAGGGGGCCGGGAACAACTAGAAACGAGCACAATCAGAAATGAGCGCGATTAGACATGAACGACGTGTAATTAGGTGGCCTGGCGCCCGAGGCGGGTCCTGGTGGCCCCCCCACCTCCAGAGGCTTCGCGTGCCGTCCCGTCGCGCTCTCGAGGTCGTGGTGCGCAAATGTGCTGCCCCGTCACACTGCTCGACGTGCCGTCCCGTCGCACGCTCAGCGTCGCATTGCTCGACGTCGTGTTGTTTGGCGCGCTGATGCTGCTCAGCGTCGAGGCGCCGGTTGCTCAGGTGCCGTCCCCCGACGTGGCGCTCATTGCACGGTTCGCCTCGCTCGGAGATGTTAGGCTGTTGGTGTTGGGTCGCGCCGTCCTGCTCGGCGTCATGGTGCTTATTTCTTTCGCGCTGCTCAGTGCCGAAGTGCTGGTCGCCATTATTTTGCTTTTAGACGAGTTGCTAGAAGCACTGTTCGTCTCACTCTTGACTGTGAGGCTGTTGGTGCTAGATCCCGTCGAGCTGCTCAACGTGATGGTGCTCGCTTTCGTCGTGCTGCACTGTGTGCCGGAGCTGGTGCTGGGCGTATTGCTCAAAGGCATGATGGTCGTTGCATTGCTCGTCACTCTCGTAGATGTGAGGCTGTTGCTGGCTGGGTCCAGTCGAACTGCTCGACGTCGTGGTGCTCAGCTCCCTCGCGTTGCACGGTTGCGACGTGCAGGTCGCGTGCGTGCTGCTATAGAACGTGGTGCTTGGCGGTTTGCTCGTCACACTCGAAGATGTGTTGTTATTGGTGCTGGATCCCGTTGTACTGTTCGGCGTCGTGGTGCTCAACTCCATCGCGTTGCTCAGTGTTGAGGTGCTGGTCATGGACGTTCTGCCTGGAGACGTGGTGCTTGATGCACTGTTCGTCTCACTCTTAGGTGCGAGGCTGTTGAGGCTAGATCCTGTCGTGTTGCTCGACGTGTGCTCGATTTCGTCGTGCTGCACGGTGTCGCGATGGTCGCGGACGTGCCGCTCGAAGGCGCGATGCTCGTTGTACTGCTCGGCTCACTCCTAGATGTGAGGCTGCTGATCCTGGATCCCGTCTTGATGCCCGACGCCGTGATGTCTGGTCCCGCCGTACTGTTCAGTGTGAAGGTGCCGGTCCCTGCCTTGCTGCTGGAAACGTTGTGCTCGCTGCACTGTTTGCCCCGCTTCGTAAATGTGAGGCTATTGGTGTTGGATCTCATCGTACTGGTCAGCGTCGTGGCGCTCAGCGCCGTCGCGTTGCTCAGTGTCGGGGTGCTGGTCACCGACGTGCTACTGT